GTCTGAGCCAGTTTCCTCAAGTGGGCAAAGAAACCTTGGGGTAGATGACCTCCATGTGTTCTGAAGGCTTGGGATTCTACAGAAAAAAAAAAAAAAACAGGGTCTCCTGGAGCTGTGAGATGGGGCAGGAAGACCTGGGTTGCATGAGCATAATGTTGAGGCAAGAGAAGACAGATGGCAAGGCAGATGGCAACAGTGCGCGAGACCACTGATCCAAGCAGCCTGCTGTGACAGAGAGAGGGAGGCAGTCTCAGAAAACTATTCAAATGAGGTGGACAAGTACAGTGTGAAGAAAGACCAGAAAGAAATAAAGGAGCAGACACAGGTTAAGATTGTGCTCCAGGATGAAATGCCATTGCTCTGCACAGTGCCAGTGCTATGTGGCAATGGAGGGAAGAAAACAACTCTGACAGTTGGACAGCCTCAAGTTCAAATCCCCAGCCTCTCTCTCTTCTGTTCCTGTAACCTTCAGCAAATCAAGTTGCTTCACCTACCTCTCAAAGCTTATGTTCTCACATTTGTCAAGGGAGAATGAAACCGTAGCCATAGCAGATAGTCATACACTGAAATAACCATAAACATCAGCAGGGAGAAGGTGGGCATAACTGAGGAGAGGATGCTGGATGCCCTCAGTGCAGAGGAGACAAGAACAAAGGAAAAAGAAAGCAGAAGCAGCAGCTAGGGAAATCAGCCCTTCTAAGCATATATTACAGCTGGGGAAATGAAAAGCCCTGCAAGCCTACATTACACATGAAAGGCCAGGCCTCAGGGAGATCACATCACATTTTTCTACAAACAGGGCATGCTAAAAAGTGATAGTAATGGCAGGGGATGGAGAGTCCAGGCAGACTTCCTAACAACCAAGGCTGGATCAAGAGCCCTGGGGAGCCCAGCTCACATGCAAGCATATCCACAGCATGAGAACAGAAAAGACTTAACTACACCAAGACAGACAAACAGAGACCTTCTTCACTGGACCTGGGAACCAGTACCTCCAAGGAAAGACCCAGGGCCAGCTTCATGAAGCTGTCCATGAAGCTACACAAGGCGCTGTTCTAAAAAGGGGCCTGCTTTAAGACTCTGCTATTGCTATCTTGAAATTTTTACTTTTGAAAGGGAGACATGTCAACATTGGGCACACTGGTGCGGGAAATCAACTATGTGTATGTGCGTGTGTGCGCGCATGTGTGTATGTATATATGTATATACACATACATCATATAAATACATACACATATGTACATAAAGTAGATGTGGGTGACACATGACTATAATCCTAGCACTTGGGAGTCAGGAGGATTGTAAACTCAAAACTAGCTTGGGCTACTAAGACCTTATCACAAACACATACATACACACACATTCAAAAATATACACCCACAAACATACACATACACAAACATAAGCACAAGTAAATCTAAGAGCTTCAAAGAAATACAGAATTTCCTCTAATTATCAACCCAGAAAACAATTTTCAAATTCTCATTGAAATCCAAAACTGTGAGTTTAAAAGACAAAATGAAATTGTTACCTGAAATAGACAACCCAGGCTTCCTCTAACTGTACTTCCCTCTAGAATTTCTTTAACTTAATAGCATCACTCTGTGTATATCCCTAAGGTCATGATCGGTGATAGCTCTCACCTGTACTCCATTTTCTTTCCTGGACCCTGAGTACCTACAGGTTAAGGTTGAACTATGCATCTATGTATCCCCAGATGGGCACACAATAGGCCCACACAGATCTCTGAATGAAAAGAAGTTCCAGTGCCCTTAACAATTGCTGATGTAAATCATGAAATAAAGAAGAGCTGCTGCTCAGATCAGTGTGGATTGATGGCACAGAGAGTGCCACTTTGTCTCTTTGCCAGTACACATGCTGAATCAGCAGGATGACAAGGCCAGGTCCTTCCCAAACACCTCCATCTTCAGTTAGCATCCCTGAAAAAGACTCAGGCTTATTATAACACAGCCACTCTACAATCATTTTTATTCAAAATATACAAGATATTATTCATCTGGAATGTTGGAGGCCTGACCTATACCAGACTAATGAGATTTCTATAATTTAGATATCTTATTCCAAGGAACTGTACGGTATAATACAGAGAAGTACTCAACGCTGGTAGAATAAATCCATCCTAGTACTTCAGGTATTACTAACAAGAAATGTCAATTTTGATAAGAAATAAATAAACATTAAAAGTACATGGGGGAAAAAAAGCTGGTACCAGTGGCTCACATCTGTAATCCTAGCTACTCAGGAGGCTGAGATCTGAGGATCATGGTTCAAAACCAGCCAGGGCAGGAAATCCATGAGACTCTTACCTCTAATTAACTGCCAGAAAAACTGGGAGTGGAGCTGTAGCTTAAGTGGTAGTGTGCTAGTCATCAGCACAAAAAACCCAGGGATGGCATCCAGGCCCCAGGACCTGTGTGTGTGTGTGTGTGTGTCTGTGTGTGTGTGTGTGTGTGTGTGTGTGTACACCAACATGTATGCAAGTTGATTCAAACTTCTTTGTACAACTAAAGATAATTAGATAGATGCATGCATACATACATACATACATACAAACATTGAATATAAAAGCCAGGTATGGTGGTACACACCCATAATCCCAGCAGTCAGAAGGCTGAGGCAAAAGTATCATGAGTAGCCTGGGCTACATAGTCAAGTCCAAAGTCAGCCTAGACTATATAACAAGACTGTCTCAAAAATCAACAAACAAAAGTGCACATATAGCTTCAATGAAAAAGGCAGTCTTTTCAGTAAGTTTTAAGATAACCACATGCAAAAGAATAAAGCTGGGCCACAGCCAAGCACCAGTGGCTCACGACTGTAATCCTTAGCTACTCAGGAGGCTGAGATCTGAGTATCAAAGCCAAAGCCAGCCCTAGCAGGAAAGCCCATGAGACTCTTATCTCCAATAAACCACCAGAAAACCAGAAGTGGCGCTGTGACTCAAATGGTAGAGTGCTATCTTTGAGCTGAAGAGCTGAGGGACAGCGCCCAGACCCAGAGTTCAAGCCCCACGACTGACAAAAAAAAGAATAAATCTGGGCCATCATCTTATACCGGACACAGAAGACATGTGTGGATGACATGTAAATACCACACTTCAAACCAGGAAGTCCTAAAGAAGATACATGTAAAGGTTTCATGGCATTTGGCCCAGCAATGAGTTGCTATGACACCAGAGGCCAAAAACACAAGAACTGTGCCAAGAACACAGCTGCCCCCAGGTCTTGCTGTTTTATTTTTCAAATAGAGTCTTCACTTTATGCCCCACGAGGACTGGACTACTATCCTCCTATTTATGCTTCCTGTGTTGTTGGGATGACAGATTTGCACAACCATGCTGGCTTTTATTGGTCCAAATGGAGTCTGGTGAGCAAACTTTTTCCCCCTCAGGCTTGCCTCTGTCCGAGTAGCTAGGATTACAGGGATGAGTCAGTCTTGTGTATTACTGGTAGAATTATAAAATGGTATAACCACTTTGGAAAGCAGGATGAAGTCCACTAAGAAACTTAAAAAATAGAATAACCGATGTGATCAATCCACTGATTCTCTTCTAGGTACATATGCAAAAGGCTTGAGGATAAGGTCTCAAAGAAGTATCTGTATACCCATATTCACTGTAGCATTTTTCGCAATTCCCAAGAAATAAAAGCAACTTAAATGTGTTTCAGATGTATAAATACACACACACACACACACACACACACACACACACACACACACACACACACGGTAATAGTACAAAAGGCAATCCTATCATATGCTAAAACTCAGATGAGCCTTGAAGATATTATGTTGATTGAAATGAGTTATAAAATGCAAATAGTGTATGATTCTCAAGGGATCAAATCTAAAGAAACAGCAAGTAGAATTGTGGTCACCAGAACTGAGGGGTAAAAGGCAAGGAAGTTGCCACTTCACTACCACCAAGTTTCAGGTTCATAAGACAAAAAGTCTGGTCAACAATGTGAATATACTCACACTACTGAACTGTACACTTGAAAAAGTGAACATGGTAGGGAGAAAAGTTGAGACACCCTATTGTACATCCATGTGAATCTAAGTAAGGTCAGTCATGGTAGAACATGCCTATAATTCCAGTACTCAGGAGGCTGAGGCAAGAGGATAGAGAGTCCAAGGATATTCTGAACTACAAAGCAAGACCTTGTCTCTAGTAGTAACAACAATAATAAATGATTGAAATTGCCATTAACTTAAAATGCCAACATTATTGTAGAAAATTATATAGATCACATTTTCCTCTAGGAAGAGATGTTTGTTCTGTCTGAGACACCTCTGTGAATGAAACGTGAGGGATGTGATTCACCAGATGACACTGGTCTGAGATCATAAGAATGACCTTCATTGGTATCAGAAGTTCTGACCCAAACCTATGGTAAAAGTGAGCCTGTCAGGCCAGACACAGGTGGCTCACATCTGTAATCCTAGCTACTCAGGAAGCTGAGATACGAGAATCAAGGTTCAAAGCCAGACTGGGCAGGAAAGTCCATGAGACTCTTACCTCCAATTAATGACCAAAAAACAGGAAGTAAGCTGTGGCTCAAGGAGGTACAGCGCTCTCTCGAGCACAAAAGCCCAGAGACAGCACCTATGTCCCAAGTTCAAGCCCCAGGGTGCATACATGCACACACACACCTACACACCTACACACACACACACACACACACACCTGTCAATAGGCTCACCTTTTTGCTCAACTTAATATAAGTAGAGTATTACTTGCAAACAAAACTGACCAGTACACCCTGAGCCTGGTGAGTCAAGCTCCATAAAACTGCCTCCCCCAACATTCTGGGGCTACAGCCTTGTCCCTGGAATCCCTGCCTCCATGCCCTACCCACCCATCCTTGCAGAGTCCTCAATCACAGTGACCTCTCTTAAAATCATAAATGGCCCTTTTTCCTCTCTTGCTTAACACTTAATTGCCCTCCCAAATGCTCAGGTTAAAGCCACTTGTGTAGTACTTTTGTGTGTGTGTCTTTGTTTAATTTGTAACGAAGTCTTACAGACAGGGGCAAATAGTAAATCTCCTTTGCAATCGCTGTTGAGTATGAGTTTTTGGTACATATAAGAAGGAATATGATTCCTACCATACATAGTTGGCAATGATGGGGGGTTTGTTAACTCATACAGGCTCTGAGAATAAAGTTGATGTAAAAGCTTAAAAAAAGAGCCAAGAAAGACAGCAGTCTACACCCTACTTCACTTCTTTCTGCTGGTTGGCTGGAGATAAGAATCACAGGTTTACTGCCTGGGTTGGCTCTGAACTGTGATCCTCAGATTTCTGCCTACAGAATAGCAAGGATTACAGGCACGAGCCACTGGTACCCAGCATGTGCATTCTTTGACATTCAAGTGTTCACACCTTCTGGGGCTTCAGAGATTTTTTTTCTTGCCCGAATTGCTCTTCCTACTTTTGCTCATTTGTAAATAATCTACTTCATTCTTCAACTCAAACATTACCTCCTTTAATCCTAGCTACTTAGGAGGCTGAGATCTGAGGACCATGGTTTGAAGCCAGCCTGGGCAGGAAAGTCTCAGTCTTCACTCCAGTTAACCACCAGAAAACCGAAGTGGAGCTGTTCCCAAGCTGTTAGCACATCCTGTCCACCCTTTCAAGTCAGTGTTCACTGCATGTCTACATTCTCACCTCCATCATATTTTCTGGGCTTGGATTAAATATGCCTTCCATAGACTTAAGAAAAGAGCAGATTTTCAACAAGGGCTATGCATAACTTTTTTTTTTTTGGTTGGTCATGGGACTTGAACTCTGGGCCTGGGCGCTGTCCCTCAGCTCTTCAGCTCAAGGCTAGAGCTCTACCACTTGAGCCACAGCATCACTTCTGGGCTATGCATAACTGTCCTGAACTCTGGACTGGTTAAAACTATGTCCTAGTGCACTTGCTTCCTGATTTGGGTCTCATCCCTGGCCCCTTCTTAGAGGAGCACAGTTCAGCACCAGTACTGCATACAGAACCCAAGTTACTCCCATGACACCAAAACCGAATCACCTGAACATTTCCTAATCCTCTTCCTATGGGCATAAACTTCAACCTCAGCCAGGCTAACTCCACCATCACTCCACTCACTACCTGTCCCAAGCACTAATTGCACATTTCCCTGTTCAAAAATCCTCAAGTAGGGGCTACTACCTGAGGCAAAAGCTGGCTTCATAGCACACAAAGCAGTCTCCTCACTTGTCTACCCACATGCCCTCTCATTAATTCCCACCAGGAGATGCTCAAACTCATTCCATGCAGAACCCAACTCAATCCTGAATCCTCCTGTCTTCCTGCCTTGGAAGCGCTGGTCAAGCTACTCCCACCGCTGAAAGTCCCCGTTAAGATCAAGGACCTGGTAAACACACATCGTCACCCAGGCAGATGTGCAGATAGATACATACTTCAATAACGGGCCTACCAACAAGAATGAAAGACCTCTTTTCAACACTTCCATATCAAAGCTCAACTTTCACTTCATATTTTAAAGTCAATGTTACTGGTCAAAAATTTATTTTCAGTTTTAAGCAACAAACCAAATTGCAAGTAGTGTCAATAAAAGGAGATTTACTGCCTCCTATAACCAGGGATCTATGCTAGCTTCAGACATAACAGCTCCAGAATGCAAATAACCCTGCTAATCCTCCTCTCCTTCTGCATTTCTACAGTGCTTGGGAACCAATCCAGCACCTTTGCATGCTAGGGAAAACTACATCCCTCTGGCTCTAGTTTTGTTTTTTGTTGCTTTGCTTGTTTTTGGCAAGAAATGAGGTTTGAAATCAGAACCTTCCTCTCACTAGCCTTCTGCTCTATCCTTGAGCCATGCCTCCGGTCCTTTTTTACACCAGTTATTTCTGACTGCGATCCTCCTATGTTTGACTTCTTGCTGTAGCTAGAATGACAGCCTCATACTACCATACTCAGCTTCTTCTGTTGAGATGGAGTCTCATAGAATTTTCTTCACAGACTGGCCAGAACTCATAATCCTCCTGATCCTCACACATAGTTGGAATGATATCTACCACATCCAGCTATTGATTGATAAAGTTCTTGCATACATTCCGGGACTGGTACCCTGATCTTCCTGCTCTCTGCCTCCCAAGTGCTAGGATTACAGGTGTGAGTCACCAGCACCCAGCTTCTGCCCTGTTCTTAAGTAGGAACTCACTGCACTGTACTACACTGCGCGCACACACACACACACACACACACACACACACACTCTCACAATCTAATAAGAGATTTCTCCCCAGCACTCATCTAACAAATCTCAGGAAGACTGGCAGGCTCTGCAAATATCTGCTAAGGACCATATGCGACAGTAGAAAATTTTCATAAAAGACTAGAAGATAGAAGAGGAGAATCCAAGGTTGTTCTTCTGTAGCCCAACTTATTTTCTGTTTCATGCTGCTTCCTTTCCAGGGCTCCCTTACTATATGGCCACAGCTATTACCAAGCAGCCCTGCCACCATACTGGTTCCCACAGAAGCCTCTGGCTTCTATTAATACCCTTCTCCATTGACCATCCAGTGCTAAGGATGATGAGACAACAGCTTCCTGGGTTACTCACCATCCCCTGCTTGAGTTCTCAGGTTTTCCATCACCTAGGTAACTAATTTTCTGTTTGACAGTCTCTCCATTTGAAGTATCCTCAGTAATTTCTGTTCCTGGACTGGACCACAATGGATATAGAAATTGACAAAGAATAGGCAAAGATGTAGAAAGAAAACATAAAGACCACAATACTGAGGAGTAAGAAGCACACTTCACATTTACTAATGGCTCATTATGTATCAGGTACTACTCTAACTCTGAAGTCACTGGAGCTTCTTATAAATCCAGGGATGAAGGTACTTCTGTTTTAACATGCGAGGAAACTGAGGCTCAGAAAAGTTACATCAATTTGCTCTCACAAGTGTAAGTAACAGAATAAGATTCAAATCCAACAATCTGACTCCAGAACAGTAAGACAGGACAAGGGCAAGGGCTTAAGGAGGAAGAGACTCAACAGAATCAAGTGATGCCTGCCAAGAGGTCACGTGGTAAGACCGGAATCTTCTATAGATTTATAATAGGATGGTGGGCAACCAGGCAACAGGAAGCTGAGTACTCCCAGAGGTTAGCAAGTAGAGATGAGAACAACAAACCCTCCTTCAAATTTGTGGAGTCCCCAAAATTAGTCATGATATGGAGGAAGAAAGCAACACAGCAGAGATTTCTTCACTCTTATTTTGAACATGTTCACACAGATAGAAATGAGCTAGCTGAGTGGGTATAGATGTTAACTTTACTTGACTACTACACTGGAATACCTAAGGCAACAAATGTTATGAAGAGAAAAAGTTTAGGCTGGCGGTGTAGCCCAGTGATATACTACATACTTAGCATATGAGGCCTTGGGTTCAACATCCAGCACCAAAAGGGGAGGGAGAATAAGGGTAAGCCCCAATGACCTAAAGACCTCCCACAAGACTCCACATTTTAAAGGTTGCTACTCCTACCCAGAGGACCAAATTCCCAATATGTGAACCTTTGGAATGAACATGAACCAATTCAAACCACAGCAGAGGAGTTTGCAGACTTAAGTGTGAAAGTCAGGCCCCCAAATGTCTACACAGGACAGGATATCCAGGACCAAGTTAGTGTCTCTTCAACTGGAACACAGCAGGCAAGAAAAAAAAAGATGACTACAAATTCAGTACTTTTGTGGTATGGTAACAAGTTGTTTCTATGATCTCTAAGGTGGAAGGTGTGAGGAGCAGGGAAAAGCATGAGGTGCGCCACTGAGCACATGGTGTGCCCAGTACCACTGAGGCTCCCTCCTGGTCGCAGCTGTGCATTCAGAGGTGGCTTGTATTACTTGCAGTGCCTCTGCACTCTGACACAAACAAATGGAATGAGTGAGGACACTGAGTGAAAGACAGAAGCGACTGAGGAGAGAGGCCATGGAAGCTAAACATTACAAGACAGCTGTAGTCAGCTATACCTGTGGAGAAATGGGGACTCTTGTGCACTGTAGGTGGCAATGTAGATTAATATAGCCATTATGGAAAACCAAATAAAAGCTTATAAAAACAATTAAAAACAGAACTATCATATGACTCAGCAATCCTTCTGGGAATATACTGTGCCCTGGTAAAGGTAACCTCACTCCCACATACACTGAAGCATGATTGCTAGAGCCAAGATATAGAGACAATTTAAATGTCCATCTGATAAACCATAGTCTATCTACACAATGGAATATTAACCATAGAAAAGAATATGGTGCTATTTGTCTTCTGGATGAGCCCAGAAGACACTGTGCTAAGTAAAGCCAGAAATAGAAATATTAATTGTGTGAATCTAAGAAGCAAAACACAAATATACAGAGATAGAAGAGGCTTATAACAGTGGTTACTAGGGGGGGCTGGGAAGATGGCTTAGTGGTAGAGTGCTTGCCTTGCATGCCTGAGGCCCTGGGTTCGATTCCTCAGCACCACATAAGCAAAAAGAAAAAAGCCGGAAGTGGCGCTGTGGCTCAAGTGATAGAGTGCTAGCCTTGAGCTGAAGAGCTGAGGGACAGTGCCCAGGCCCAGAGTTCAGGCCCCACAACCGGACCCCAAAAAAAAAAAAAAAAACAGTGGTTACCATGGGCAGGAGGAAGTACACATAGGTCAAAGTAACAGACATGTAGGATGAACACACAAAAAACTAGCAGAGGACAGGGATGAGTGTGCATGTGTATGCACGTATGTATGTGTGTGTGTTACTAGAGACTAGAACCTAGGGCCACATGCATGGTAGGTGAGTACTTTACCACTATAGCTCATCTGACTTTACTTTAGAAACCATCTTCTTCCTTTCTCAGCAAAGAGAGGCTCACAAACAATCAATACACTATGTCTTAATATATGGAACATGTTAATTTTATTATGCTTTAAATTGTACAGTCATTTTATTTTTTCAACTCTATAGGCACATTTTTACTTACTTCATTTGCACCTTTCTCTATTTTAGCAAAAACTCTCTCCTCATTCCAAAAGTAAAAGTCTTTGATCCAGGCCTGAGCAATCAGTTACAAAGACAGGTTTGAGTGCCTGA